CAAAATTATTTATATTTTAAAATGTTTCGATGAAAACAAAGTTCGAATTTGTTAAATACTTTATTTTATATTCATGGCGAATCTCGGTTCAAATTGTTGTAATAAATTCTCATTAATTTTTATTGTATTCTAGTCTTTTTTTTTTAAATAAATATCTTTATAAAATTGCCTAACAATAGTTTCTCAAATTCTTAATTAGAGTTTCACAATTGTAAAAGAAAATTTTATAATTATATTATTAAATGATAATTTCTTAAACATAAATAAATTAGATATTTTTTATTTTTGAGATACTCGTCTGTATTTATTTTTAAAATATCTAAATCTAAACCGAAACGATCAGTATTTTAATTTTATAACACATCCAAATTACTCGAATATTCAATTTTCAGAACAACTACTAAAGGAGCAGTATAACCATTTTTGGATATTTTTACTCCGTAATAAATATATCATATGCTTTTTTATACTTTGCTGATAGTAAAATTAAAAAACCGTCGGCGCCCCAAGAGAAACAGTTGCACACATCAGTGTCCGAATAATATTATTGGAGTCTGCTTTTGCACTGTTTATGACTTTGATGGTATGTATGTATGTATGTATGTATGTATGTATGTATGTATGTATGTATGTATGTATGTATGTATGTATGTATGTATGTATGTATGTATGTATGTATAGGTGTATGTATGTATGTATGTATGTATGTATGTATGTATGTATGTATGTATGTATGTATGTATGTATGTATGTATGTATAGGTAAAACGTCGATATAATCATGCATATTAAAATTCTCATTAGGCCGTTCGCATATAGGTCAAGTTTAACGCGCATTTTTAATATATGAAAAATACAATCTGCATTCCACTTTCCACGTTAGTTAGTGCGACCAAAAGTTTTTCATTGTACTTCATTAATAATTCCAACCCTCCCAATTAACTCGCAGCAAATACACTGAACCTATAATTATTGTCCCCTCACCCGAGTTCGAACCCACCTGGGCCAAACTTTATCAAAAAAAAAATATATATATATATATATATATATATATATCTTATATGTGGATGTATTGTCATTTTATCCATGGATATATAATGAATTCTCAATAATTATATAATTTTACACTATAAACTGTCGGTTCAAACGATTATATTATTTTTTGTATTAATTAAAATCCTAAAAAAAATTATTCTTGCGAGCCCCACCCCCTTTTTTTTACTGTACTGCTTTGTATTAGTTTCATAAAATTTACTTTTCTAGAGAATGCTGCGTTGAGAGTGGAATATTTTTCACTTATTAAATAAGTTGGTAGGTTATGAGTTCATTATTCGATAAACATATGACGGAAAGTGAGCACTTTTTTTCCGTCGATAAATAATAATTTTTGTGAATATCATAAGCTCGAATATTAATAAAGGCGTTACGTGAAAGACTTTTAGTTTTAGATCTTATGCGCGAAGGTTACCAAACTATGTCGTTTCACCATTTAATACTTGAATTAACTCACAAACGTACAAATTGAGTCATGCCACGTATAATTTTCCCAAACACACAATATACTCTTTCTTGGGACATGTATAGGAAGGAATAAAATTTAAAGTAAATTATCGATCATCGAAAGTGTTTGAGTGAAATTTTATATACTATTTATTGAGTCCAATATAAAATTTATTGGTGATTAGACTAATAAAATGCGCCTCGATTGATTTAATATATATATATATGTGTGTGTGTGTATAGATAGAGAGAGAGGAGAGATGGTACGTTGGTACGAAATGTCCATACGGCCTAAAGACAGTGGGACTTATACCACAGAATCTTTCATATCCCACGATCCCCATTCATTGTTTTGTCCTTTTCCCTTCCTCAATCCAAATATCAAAATGGTTATAACTTATATATTCAACAATGTTTTACTCACTCTTTTTGGTACGTCGATTTAAAATCAAAATTCTATAAAACATATTTATTATGTTACAACAAATGATTCAGTTTTACTCTAACTTATCCATAGAAATCATTCTCAATCCATGATCTTCAGTTTTTATATTTGATTCTAAGAAAACTTTCTCTAGAGTTGAATATTTTTGACATACTGTGTTCATTAATTAGATAAACATAAATTTTTTTTATATTTTCAAAATTTTGCGTATATTCAATCCAATTACATCTTCCACAGTCTGAATGCAGTTTTTTACAATAACTAAATCGCGTATATCATCCACAATTATGCAGTCAAACCGATCATCTTGAATGAAAAATATCAAAAATATCTTTATTTTACTTCTACATATATTTTTCTCTATACGTGACAATGAGACAAAAATGACAATATGATTATATAGTGATCACATTTGTAATCAAGATAAATTTAACATTATTAATAATGTGAATATCATATAATTATATTATCATTTTGTCACATGATCAAATCGGGAGGATGACATATGCAAAAATAATTTTAGCAAAATAAAAATATTTTGGATAATATCTCTTTAATGCCTAACTGCGATCCAATCACTTCAACCTTCTATCATTCAACCACTGTAAGGTGGGTGATCCAGTAGAATTTTATTAATTATATTTTTATTTTATTTTAAATCAACATAATGAACAAATAACAACGTATCGAAAAAAAAATCTATTATTAATCATATTATTATAATACTTAATATTAGAAAAAAAAAATTGCAGGAAAAAGGAGTGAAATCGAATGAACGTAAGTAGAAAACGATGAAAAACTATCTTAAGAAATCTAGAAGTTATAATGAATGGGCAAAAGCATAGCCACGTAATCCTAGTCGTACCGGAATGGCTCGTTTCATTTACAATGCACGAAGAACACGACGTTGAGATTGAGAGAAGGTGCAAGCATAAAAACTCTGACATGTCATTTAATTAAAGGCTGTACACGTGGAGACGATACAATGGTACACATAGATTTGGTCGCGACAACCATAAGATCTGTCCGCTGCGAAAAATTAACTGTTTTTTGCTAATTGCGGACATTTTCCACGTGCCCTTTTTTTGGTCCTTCTTTTTCGTGGAATCGCAATGATTTAGGAGATGTACATTGGATCCAGTTGTATATTTGGACGGTTTCTTTTTTCTTTTTTTTTTTATAACGGTATAACCCAATCAGAGTCTTTCGGATGCGGTGATAAACCATTCGATTCCACGTATTAGTCTGTAAATCATGTAAAACAAATAAACCATTCAAAAGATGATAGATTCGTTGGAGAGTGAAATGAAATCCATGATCTGTTGGAGAATCATGAATTTTTTAATCACTGAACCATACCTAAAAGGCAAAAATCATGTAAGTTGGTTCTGGTTATATTTGTTATATTACAAAAACATGTAATGGAAATACAAAAACAACTACGAAATGAGATTTTTTCCTATAATTTTTAATTGGAATATAAAAAAAGCGTAATTTCCGACCGAAGATGTTGCAAATACACACATGGAAAGAAAATTTTAAATTACGATGACTGTTTGATTATATTAAACTGCATGTGTAATTGGATGCAGGAATAAAAATATATTAAGAACAATTTAATTAGTTTAACAAACACACGTCACATAGTCTTTGCCCCGGGATTAGTGTAGGTATAATCGCACATAGGCTCTTTTCTATATTGGAATGAACCAATTAACTAATTTATCATCTTTGTTTTTTTTCCTATCCACCGATTATCATATAGTCTTTGTTTTTTTTCCTATCCACAAGACGGTCCAAAAGCATTTTCACCAAAGATAAAAATTAACTTGGTCAACAATAAAACATTTACGCATGTTACTACGAAAAAAAAAGATGAATTTGTATCAAGTTTTTGTTTAATAATTAGATCAATGGTTATTAACTTACAAGAGAGATGTTGTACGAATAAAAATATATTAAATAAAAAAAAGACATTTGATATGAAATGGGAGCTATATTCGGAGTTTATTAGTTTAATGGTGGGACCAAAGATTGACATATTGGAGAGTTTAGTTTAAAGGAAGCTTTGTTGTTAGACCGTTGGAGGAAAGATCGAGGGAAGGTGCGAAGACGTTGGGGCGCGTTACATTATAGGAATTAGGACCCTTGTGGGGCAGTTACCGACCTACCGGTACCGTACAGTTCAAGAGTCTACGAGTTACCGGCTATGTGACCGACACGTGGCGACACATGACTGGATGACTGTGGTTTACAGGCTGTTTTTTCCATTAAATATAAAAAAGCAGTGGTGATTTTTCCCGTTCCAATTCGGCAACCTATCTTGTCGTTTTCCGCCACGTCATCCACGCTATCTTCCTTTCCGTCTGCTTCTCTTCGTCGGTTTCTAAAACGGAACATCAATTAAATGAAATGATTACAGATTTGTAATCTAATTATGAAAATCGTATCTATATATACTTATACTTAGATATATGTAACGCAGTGGTACGTTTCCTTTGTTTCGCCTTTGAAGATACGTGAATTTTAATTTAAGTTATTTGAAGTAAATATAGTTATTTGAAAAGTCGGGAGTTACGGATTACAGGCTGTCATCGATAGTCAAAAAGTCAAACTATATTTAAAAAACTCTTTAGCCAAACCTAACCGTTATTAACTTATTGTCTTTATTTCAGATATTTATTTTATAATTTTCAAAAAACTTATTTCGCATCTCATCATGGAGCGAATATATAATAGCTTTCACAGTTGGGCTTCGTGATTTTGTCTCTTTAACTCCCACACCCGACGCGCTCAACCAGATCGTGAACCCACCGCCAGGTCTCTTCTTAGCGAGTGATTATCACGCGCCATCGTACAAATACTATGGGAAAAAGACAAAAACAAAGAGAAGAGGACAACATCGAGCAACGATATTGTGACGCGTGTCCCATTACAGCTGTATCCCAAAACCCTCAAAACCGCTTAGGTGAAAGAGGATAGCCATGACTTCTCTACCGGCTCTGCCAGTCTCCGGTTCCCCTCTTCTTCCCCCTGTATAAATATATTTTTCTTCTCCTCCATTCCTCGGAGTTCTCTCGTTCAACCGCAGAGAGAATAAAACAATTAAATCAAAAACCAAAAAAATAAAGATCGAAAGTTTGGACGGGCGAAAATCGAAAGACATGGTTGATCGGATAAAGGGTCCATGGAGTGTGGAGGAGGACGAACAGCTGCGTCGGCTGGTGGAGAAATACGGTCCGAGGAATTGGTCGGCGATAAGCAAGTCGATCCCTGGTCGGTCGGGGAAGTCTTGTCGGCTGCGGTGGTGCAACCAGCTGTCGCCGGAGGTGGAGCACCGTCCATTCACGGCGGAGGAGGACGAGACCATCGTACGAGCCCACACGCAGTTCGGCAACAAATGGGCCACCATCGCTCGCCTCCTCAACGGCCGTACCGATAACGCCGTCAAGAACCACTGGAACTCCACCCTCAAGCGCAAATGCGCCTTGTCCGGAGGAGGCCAGGCCGCTGCGGAGGAGCGTCCGACGAAGAGATCTGCAAGCTCGGGTTCCGGGGGTGGTCCGCCGGTCTCCACCGGGTTGTACATGAGCCCCGGGAGCCCGACGGGATCTGACATCAGCGATTCGAGCACTGTTCCTGTTTTCCTCTCGTCTCGTATCGGTCACGTTTTCAAGCCCGTGGCGCGTACTGGCGGCGTTGCGGTGCCTCCGGTGGGTATGTCATCGTCTTCGGGCGATCTGCCGACGTCGTTGAGCCTGTCGCTTCCGGGATCTGACGCCAGTGAGGTGTCTACAAACGCTAACAATGCCACAACTTCGAGCCACAATACGCTGCCATTTCTGCCATTGACGAACCAAGACGAAGCTCGAATCGTCGGCAATGGAATAGCGTTTGGCGGATTGAGCTCCGAGTTCATGGCGGTGGTGCAGGAGATGATAAAGTCGGAGGTGAGGAATTACATGGTGGAATTACATGGCGGAGATGCAGGGATCGGTGGTTTGTATGGTCCCGGCAATGTCGGATTCAGGGATAGTGGTATAATTCCGAGGAATCGGATCGGAGTTGGTAGGATCGAGTAGCGTGTAATGTTATTGCCGTACGGAGTTCGTACCGGAACGCCTGATCGAGGACGAGAATTAAAAAAAATTGGTTAAAAATGTACAGAGAAATCGAGTGGAGAAGAGACTAGAGATGGATATGTCTGTCGGGAGGCTAATGAATGGAGAAATGGAACAATAAAATTTCTCCGAATAATATCTGAGCTTCTCTCTCTCTCTCTAAATTCCAACACGTCCTAAATTATTTCTAAAAAAATATTAAAAAAATAATTTAATTGTAATATTTAATTTCTCTCAAAAAGTCCCCAAAAAGACTGTTTTAACAGCAAGTTCAGGTTTTTCAGTGAAAATTCAATGAAACCCGGTTGTTGAAACTAGGGATGTCAAAACGAGTCGAACTCGCGAGCCGGTTCGAGGTTGGCTCATTTTTTATCGAGCCGAGCCAAAAATATCTGAACCCAAATAAAAATAGGCTGAGTGAGCCAGCTCGCCACGAGCCGAGCCCAAACGAGCTAGCTCGGCTGGCTCCGGGGTTGGAGTAAAAAAAAAAATTTATGTTGAAACTTGAAAGTGTTGATATTGTTGGTATGATATTTTGATTTGGAGATAATTTTTTATGTATAGATTCGGATCTGATTATAGTTTTTTGTACATGGATTAAGATCTAATTGTATATGGATGGATTAAGATCTGAAAATGGTTTTTTGTACTTGGATAGATTATGATTTTATCTATTTGAAAATGATTTTTTGTACATAGATTGTGATTGTGAATATAAGTATGATTTGGATATATTGGTATGTTCTTTTTATGTTGATATATCATTTGAATATGATTTTATATAATTTGATATGATTTTTTTTAGGTATTTAGAAAAATATGAGCCGGCTCGCGAGCTAAGCGGTTTGGGCTGAGCCATGAATTTTCTAGCCCAAATAAAAATGGGCTTAACGAGCTGGGCTGAAAATGAGCTGGTTCGAAACGAGCTGGTCCGAACTGGTCCGAACCGGCTCATTTGACATCCCTAGTTGAAACCTTTCTTTCTTTTTTCTCTCTCGCAAAATTCCATGAATATGTTGGGTTTCTAATATATATAATGGGGTCTTTTTATTTTAAAAATAAAATAAAAAATCATATATTGGTTTGGACCGAGGGGTGCACATAAGCCTAATCACCTCTTGGGCCTCGTAACATTGGATATGATTTTTTCATTTCATCTACTTACAGTCTCAGTATGTCCACTTTTCACTAAACCCATTTTGATTAAACAATTAAAAAGTTAAACTTATTTTAGTAGGTAGCGTATCTGCTGTCATGGCACAAAAATCGTGGACGTAAAGAGGTATTTGATTTGCTCCTTTTAAGTGGCTCCTACTTCCTAGCTTATGTCTTTTGGAGACTGCTGTAAGATTGTGATCAACTATATTGTAAAAAGATTGTAATAAACTTGCACGGTTTATTTAAAAATATTGATTAATATACAAAATATAGTATTAAAAAACCTCTGCCGCTACTAGAATTCACAGACTAGGCCCAATGTTATTTTGGGCCAGGCCCAAATATGGATATCCTTACAGGCCTAAACAGCCCAGAATGAGAAATTGGAGCATATCATTAGAATCACGCCCCCAAAATTGCAAAAAATTACGTATACATGTATATTTAACTTGAAATCCGACAAAAAGAAAACAGGATTGTTCCGCCGACGCTTCATCGGGTGCAAAGTCCACCGTCGTGGCGGCTCTCTCGGCGAATTCACCGGCCGGAGATACCGTCTTCGCTTGAGGTCTTCCTTTTTTTTTCGCCTCTCTCTCGGGTTTAGTTTCTCTTGGTACGGTCGCTGAAGGCACGGCTTGACGATGATGTCTTCGCTCACTTCCGTCGAATTGAATTATCTCGTTTTCCGATATCTTCAAGAGTCAGGTTCGAGATAAACTCTTCGATTTTTGTTGCTTGGTTGTATGCTCGTGAAATTTCTCCTTGTATTTATTCATCGTGGCGTTTTCTAGGGTTTTTGCGGTTGGGTTTTCTAATTCTGAATGCTGCACCTGATGTTTCTGTGGTGTCTTAGTAGGGTTTTAGCTAGACATGGTACATGCCTTTGAGGAATTGCAGATTCGAGTGGTAGCGATGAATTGTCTTATTCGATCCGCAGATTCTGGATATTTGTAATTCGTATGTCGTATCAGAATTTTACGTGTTTGAATTTGTGGATATTTGCATGCTTTCAAGTAATTGTCCCCATTAAGGGTGACGGGAATGATATTTTGAAGCGATCCTTCCATAATTTGAGAGAATAATTAAAAGATAAAAGAGCAGTAAGGATCTTATAGCTCTGATTTTGCTAGAAAATAGGACTATGTATAAGAACGAGAATAGAGACATTGAGACTAAGAGAGGATAGGAGAGATGTTTCTTGTACTTGTATGTCAAAATAAGAACAAGGTACGAGCCAGTTATAGATGAAGAAAGTAGAAACTAGCTCTTGTAAACTAGTTGTTAAGATTGTGCATGGAGACTGACATTAACTATTGTAGTTGGATGCTTAGAGGACATTATTCTTTTGTTTCCAACAGGCAGTGGGCTTTATATGATCTCTAATTTTGTCAAATTCAACAAAAATGTGTTGAGGTTATTATCACTTGGAGCTCTCTGCGGGTTCTCAGATATGCTTATGAAAAAATCCCTTTAGTTGTTATTGTCTTTGTTCTGAAATGGTATGTAAAGAACTCTTGTCCGACTGCTTTGTCCGGTTAATGCTCGTCCGATTTATGTTTGTGGGCTTACAGAACTCAATATTGGCATTAGATGGGATGTTCTAGCCGGCTAATTGAAGTAGTGGTTTGATGCTTTAACTTTCTCTTAATTCTGTCCTCATTCTGCAGGTTTTACGCACTCTGCATTTGCTTTAGGTTATGAAGCAGGGATAAATAAGTGCAACATTGATGGGAATATGGTTCCACCCGGCGCCCTTATCAGATTTGTTCAGAAAGGAATGCAGTACCTGGAGATGGAAGCAAATTTGAGCAATGTCAGTACAGCTCTCATGGAGCAGATTGTTTTTTTATTTCGTACTGGCAGTCTTGTGAGTTTATAATGAGGTTAGCTAAGTCGTGTTCACATTATTGTTTTCAGAGCGATGCTGAAATGGAAGAGGATTTCTCATTCTTTCAACCCTTGGATCTAATCACAAAGGATGTAAGTGAATTGCAGCAAATGCTGAGGGAAAGAAAGAGAAAAGATAGAGATAGGGACCGAGACAGAGATAAAGATAAGGGGAAAGAAAAAGAAAAAGAAAAAGATAAAGAGGTTGAACGAGAACATGAAGGAGACCGTAGCCGAGTAAAAGAGAAGGATAGGCATGAGAAGCAGAAGGAGCGAGAAAGGGAAAGGTCGACAGTTTTCAGAGGAACGAGATCTACAAGAGGGAAAATGATTCTTTTTGACAGGATTACTTTCTTAAATTGGATTTATTGCAGTTTCATCTTTCTGTTCCTGGAGAACTACGGGGAAAGAGAGAGGGAGAGGGAGAAGATAGAGAGGGAAAGGGAGCGGGACAGAGAAAAGGAGAAGATAGAGAGGGAAAGGGAGCGGGACAGAGAAAAGGAGAAGATAGAGAGGGAAAGGGAGCGGGACAGGGAAAAAGAGAAGTTGGAGAGGGAGAAGGAGAAGGGACGAGAAAAGCAGGGTGAAGATCCTATGGATAGGGAAATGGCTATAGACCAAAACGATAAGGAAAATGCTGGGGATGCAGAGCATGGAGCTTCTACAGGTATTTCTTTGTGTTCCTTAAGATTCTCCAGTTTAAGCTATGCTGATAGTTCATTAGGTGCATTCTGCTGCGTAACGTTTCAGTGCACACTTCAATGTTTCTGGATTTATGCAGGTGTAGAACCTATGGATGTTGTAATGACCTCTACATCTCAGACATGTGACGTTCCTACTTCTGATGTAATGGTTTTGGCAGGGCATGATTCTGAGGTATTATATTGGATGGTTTTAGCCTTTCAATAGGCATGCTTATTAATTGTTATGCATCATTATAGGTATTATTATATGTAGTTATATATTTCACCGTTAAGCTAAGATCTGATTTGCTATCTACGTTTTCTATACAGGTCTGTGCTTGCGCATGGAGTCCAACGGCTTCACTTCTTGCATCAGGGTAAGTACCCTTACTGATAAGGATGAGGTTTTTTTTGGGGGCAAAATATTGTGTCTTCTGGTTGTGTCTGTTTATATATCTGTTGAAACAAGAGTTGAACACTATTTATTCATGTTGCAAAATATCAGGTCCGGCGATGCTACAGCACGTATCTGGACGATTCCGGAAGGTACATTCAGATCTGGGTCGCATAATGGTCCTCTAAATGTCCTGGTGTTGAAGCATGTAAAAGGAAGGACAACCGAGAAGAGCAAGGATGTGACAACTCTTGACTGGAATGTAAGTTCCACCGTTTTCTTATTGACATTTATCTTCTTCCGTTAGTATGTTGTCTGACTTTCTGAATCTCCAGGGAGAGGGGACTTTACTTGCCACTGGTTCATGTGATGGTCAAGCAAGGATTTGGAATACAAATGGTATGGATTTCTGGTCAGTTATATGGCTTAACATCTCGTATGAAATATTTCTCCTTCGTGAATCAATCTTTACCCATTCTCTTATATTATGGTTCGTAATAGTCGCCCTAGAATCTACAGGATGGTTTCCCTCTATATCAAATTTATCTCCATATTCGTACTTTTATACTTTGTCAGGTGAGCTGAAAAGTACCTTAAGCAAGCACAAGGGCCCCATTTTCTCCCTCAAGTGGAACAAGAAGGGCGATTATCTCCTAACTGGAAGTGTTGACAAAACTGCCATTGTATGGGACGTAAAGGCAGAGGAGTGGAAACAACAGTTTGAGTTTCATACCGGTACTGGTATTTGATTAAGCAATGGTTTGAATCCAGTTTCTCATGGATACAATGATATTTTTATGGCCTAAAACCTCTAGCTTTATATGTTTAGGCCCAACACTTGATGTTGATTGGCGCAACAATGTATCATTTGCAACAAGTTCAACAGACAGTATGATCTATGTATGCAAGATTGGAGAAACCCGGCCTGTCAAAACCTTTGCTGGGCATCAGGTTCTCTCTTCTTATTAAAGCTTTGTGGCAAATCTTATCATCTTATGTCTTTAACTAGCTTCCTCTAGTCATTTATGACAAAATTCCCAGTTCAGTTCCTAATTGAATGGAGTGGCTCATAATCCTTGATTATTCTGAAATTGGTTTACAGATATCTCACGTTACTAAAATTTTGGGGGATTTTGTAACATTAGGGCGAGGTTAATTGCGTAAAATGGGATCCAACCGGTTCGTTGCTGGCCTCGTGCTCAGATGATATTACTGCCAAGGTTCGTAGCTGGCCAACTTCTATCTAAGCTTCAAAAGTTTCATACACATCTATTTTTAGTTTAAATTTGCATCCTTCTATCCATGAACATCATCGTTTTGATAGATGTGGGTGGGATGAACATGTATGGTTTACGTAGATTCATTGAACCTAGACTATAGTAATAAGGGTTGTTTTGGCTGTTAGTATTAGTTAGTAGATTAGATAGAGGAGAAAGGGATCATGCAGAAGTTTCAGAAAGGGTTAGGGTTTGTTTGGGGAATGAGAGTTGGGATCCTCTCATAAATCAAGATCATCCAAAGTTGTATTCAGGTTTCGGTGAGGAATAAAAGCTCGATTTGTGCTGGAAAGTTGAGTTTCAGATCCTGAACATTAACACGTTTCTTTCTGTATATTTGCATCTTATCCTTAATCTGTTCATCTTTCTTCAGATATGGAGTATAAAACAGGACACCTTTGTTCATGACCTGAGAGAGCATTCCAAGGTAATTCTTACAAGACTGATTGGAAAACCTTTCTTTTTGAACAATAGCTTCTAAGGTTGATTTTGTTGACTCCACTTGCAGGAGATTTATACTATAAGATGGAGCCCGACTGGACCTGGAACTAACAATCCAAACCAGCAGCTAATTCTTGCGAGGTAAAAAAGAAAAACTACATCCTTTGGATCAGACACTTATCTCTTTTTTTTTGGTCTCTTCTTTCTAAATGTTTCTGAAACAAATGCAATGATGTGTTGAACATGTTAGCGCATCATTTGACTCGACTGTGAAGCTATGGGACGTGGAACTTGGGAAGATGCTTTGCAGCTTGAATGGACACAAGTACGTTAAGAATATGAATATGATTAAGGCTTTTTCACCCTCGGCTGGATTTGCTTCTTTTTTTTTTTTTAAAGATCCTTCGTATCTTTTTATATAACAAGTTTATTATGTACTGATAATTTCTGATAAAAAAAATAAAATATGGAAGGGAACCGGTGTATTCAATAGCATTCAGTCCGGACGGGGAGTACATAGCTAGCGGGTCACTGGACAAGTCGATGCACGTTTGGTCCTTAAAGGATGGGAAGATCGTCAAGACTTACACAGGCGAAGGCGGCATTTTCGAGGTTTGCTGGAACTCCGACGGCTCCAAGATCGCCGCCTGTTTCGCCGACAACACCGTCTGCGTCCTCGACTTCCGTATGTAGCCAACACCCAAAAAAAAGGTTCTATATATTATATTTATTGTCACCATTCTATGTTTTTAGGGGCTCTTAGTTAGAACTCTGTGTAAGTTTCTTCTCTCTTATCATCTCTCGTCCCCAAACTGTTGCAATCAGACACAACAGGTCCCTCCCTGCTTCGGACAGAAAATATTGTTGGACACTATGTACTGAAGTTTCTTACCGTGATCCACAACCACGGTAAGAACCCTAGTTTGGGTAAAGAGCGTTATCAAAAAAAAAAAAAAAGTGTCTTACGATGATGACGTAATCCATGACGTGATAGGATTGTGGGCATTGAATGTTTTGCCAAGGAAAAACAAGTGTGTTTATCCTGTCCTGTACTGTGTATGCACTTTACTTGCTCTAAGACAATAGATTGCATCATCAGAATAGAACCGAAGCCTCTCGCCCTTGTTTTTTTGGCGTAACAAGATAACACCCGAAACTTGTTTGACTACCTCGCCTGTCTTATTCGTGTGTATATATTATATTATATACATGTACATATATATATTCCTAAAATCTTGGGTAAGAGGACAACTTATTAAGACTCAAGTAACGACAGTCCAACCAAAAATGGTACCATTTCAATAATTATGTGGCGAACTGTAACCATTGCTATAAAATTCTCCGTTTTAAATAGAAAACACAAATCTATTGCACGAGAATTGGCGGACTAAAAGTGGCAACTTGAGAATATGTGGAATCCGTCGTTGGTTGGGTTGGGCACATTGTTATTTGTTAGGTACAATATGTGGAGTTTCCCATGCACGTGGTGATTAATGATTGTTCATTCTTTCATCCGGTCGTGGACCATCCCTACGTTTCTCACACGCCCTCTCTCTTCCCACTTTCCCTTTACTGATACCATTATTATTTTTTGGTATTCTAAACCATATTTTTTTTTGTATACATTGGGACCGGTCTGCTACCCTTCGGACGCGCTGACCGAGTAAACCCAAGCCCACACGCACGAGCCTGCAACACACACGTAGAAGGTAAATCAGCCGTAACTGACAATCGATAGTTGAGCGGGCAAAGAGTCGAACCCCCAACCTCTCGGTATGTTGACAATGCTCCTTGCCAACTCACCTAGGAGTTCCCTTATTCTAAACCATATTACTACTATATAACCCTTTTAATATTAATAAGTTATGTTCGTGAATTATTTCGCATCCCGATTTTCCCTATATTAATGACCCATCCATATTCATTATGGTTTATAAAGTCGATTATATAAATTAAATTTTGTGGTTTGAGTAAGATCTGATAATAAATTTACCCAAATAAAAATAAAAAAAAAATCGTCAAGCTGTCTCACATCTCAATCTCTCTCATGTTGACATAATTCGCACATTGACAAATTTGCCCCTGTACCTCCCTTGAATTTGCCAACCATACCATCGCATGTTGACGTGGCGTTACGTGATTCGTGTAAATTCACTGTCGTCGTCTTAAGGACGCTATTTAGCATCGTTGTAATCCTAACGCATTACACCAGAGAGTGAGAGGCAGAGAGTACAACCATTGTTTTCGAACAAAAACTGGAAACTTCCTTCAAGAATCGATCGTTTCGTCGGGAAATTCAAACTCAAACTGTGGACTCACCGGTACCGGAAGATGCCAGTGACGGAGAGAGAGCGGCCGCTGTTGGCGACGGAGGAGAGAGCTTACGAGGAGGCGGAGAAAGTGCTCGTAGTCGGGGTCGACGAGGACCATGACGCTGACTACGAGCTCAGCGGCTCGCCCCGGTTCTCGTGGCGGAAGCTCTGGCTCTTCACCGGACCCGGGTTCCTCATGAGCATCGCCTTCCTCGACCCGGGAAATCTCGAGAGCGATCTCCAGGCCGGAGCCATCGGCGGGGGCTCTCTCCTGTGGCATAAAGAGGTTGAACGAGAACAT